CCCTAGGGCTACCTCCCCATTGTTCTTTGTTTCAGCAAATATCCTGTTGTCTCACACAGGGCTGGGGAAGAGGAGAAAAAAAAAAGTCTAGATCCATTCTCCTCAGATTCCATCAGAGGACCCAGTTTTGAGTCTCAGCTAATGCTCCTGCTTGCTGATATTGAGTGTGGGCTAGTCACTTTGCCCTGCACCTCAGTTTTCCCATCTGTAAAAAGAGGCATTTGGACTAGATAGCCTCAAAAGGCCCTTCCTGCCGGATCTGTAAGCCCGTGATCCGAAAGGCCAGACTTTATAAGCAGGGAAATGAAGATTGTCTGTCTTCAGGGTTGCCCCACCCTGCTTTGACCACACTACTTACTGCTCGACAGGGAAAGAAGAGGGTATGGTGTTTTTGCTAAAAGGTTTTTTACCACAAATTCCCCTTAGACAGCCAGCCCTTCTAGGGCATTCGTTCAAAATACGGTTCCATTTTTTAAGCGTTCGTTTTACATATGAGCCTTCAAAAACATATCTGTTATTTTCAATGAGGTTCACCTTTATCCTAGGAAGGCAGGAATCTTAGGATCACATGATTGATACAATCATAGGCTCATGAGGCTTAGAGCTAAGATATGTGTGACCCTCTGAAGGCAAACAGGCTCCCAAAATACAGCCTCTCCCTTCATTTGTAATAGCAGTGAGCCTTAGGCTGTCATCATCCTCTTCAGCCTTTTGTCCCCAGGATCAATTAATCAATCAACAAGCATATATTAACCACTTACTATTATGTCAGGCACTGTGATTGGCAGCCCTTAAGATACAGACAAAAATGGACTGGTTTCTGCTCTCAAGAAACTTAAAGTGACCAGCTCTGAGCTTCTGGAGCTCCTGTCCAGTTTCAGCCTTGAGCCAGATATCTATCAACTATTCGTTATTCTCCTTTCCGCCTCAGTTACTCCCATTTGCTCAATGGACAGAATCCAGTTAGGCCAACATCTCAGAGACACCAGGAGGAGTGCTCCTATTAGGATCAGCTAATGAGCAGGACCAGGATATGGATTGAATGCCCTGACCCTAAGAACCGAGGATCGAGGGACTTGAGGCAGTTTCTTTAATGTGTGGCTTCAGAACCAAGTCTTTCATTCACAGGGAAAGGAAAGGACGTTGTGAAATCTGCTCACCAGCATTCCTTTGTATCTGCCGAGTTTATGGTTCTAATAAAACACACAGAACACTAGGGTTCATAGAATTATTGGTTTTAGAATTAGAAGAGACTTTAGACATCATCTAATCCAACCACAGAGAAGAAACTGAGACCAGAGAGGGGGGAAATGTCTTGCCCAAGATTGTGGAAACTTAATATGCAGTGATAAAGGGGGCAGCAGTGGGCCAAAGGGGTAAAATAAAATCATGAAAAAGGGGCTGGATTTGCATTCAGAGGACCTCCGTTCAAATCCTGGCCCTGTCACCTACTCCCCGTGTGACGTTGGGCAATGCATATCTGGGGCTTGGTTTCTTCATCTCTACAAATGATGGTGTTAATATCCCTTCTAGCACTAAATCACTGATTCTATAATGAGAGAAATAACAAAATCAAAATCTGAGTCATGCCCTCTGTCTCCAAATCCAGTGTTCTTGCCTCTGTACTAAAGTGACCCTCCTCAAAATGAGGCCCACCCCTCTCCCCAGGAAGCCAATCACTCAATAACGATTTAAGGGCCTACTGTGTGCTAAGCCAGCAGGCAGATGATCTTCCTCTGATCCCCCTCCCACCCACATTCTTGGCTTCCTCCAAGGAGGGAATAGCACCAGTCCCCTCCAGAGGAGGACATCCTACACAACCGAGAGCCAGCTAGAGAAAGGAAATCTTGCTTTTTCCCTGGCTCAATCATTTCTCCCCTCCCTGTAGCCCATGTTGCCCCTATATTCCCCACACCTTTCCTTTCGCTGATCTAGGTGAATCACAATAAAAGGGAGGCAGGATGCTGAAAATGCAATGATGAATGGCATGCTGACATGAACAGAACTCTGTACTCAGCACCATAGAGTTAGAGCTAAAAGGAATATTAAAAGACATCCAGCCCCATCCTTTCATTTTATAGAAGAGGAAACAGGTGCAGAAAGGTCAGTTGTCTTTTCTAAGGTTACAGGTAGTAAGAAGCAGGGCTGGGATCTGAACCTGGGTCTCTTTCCCCTGCACCTCTTAGATGCCTCTCTTAGATGACTCAGTTTCATATGGTTAATGTGGTTAATAATACTTGTCTACCTATCTCAAAAGGAGGTGGGGGGTTTTTTAAGCACTTCATAAACTTTTAAAACACTCCAGAAATGTGGGCCGTTATTATTATTGTTGGCTGTGTTATTGCTGGTTTCCAGGCTCTTGCCAAAGGTCGTTTTCCAAGATCATCAGTTTCCTTAGCAACTACAATTCAGCCTTGCCTTTAATGCACTTGCCTGTAGAACTGAAGCAGCTGGGACCAATTTTTATCCTTATCACAGTATCATAGCTCCACAACAGGAAGGGACTTAGAGGCCATCTTGTCCAACCCCCTCAATTTACAGATGAGGAAACAGAACCCAGAGTGGATAAGAGACTTGTCCAAGGTCACATAAGTAGTAAGAAACAGAGCTAAGATTTGAAGGGAGGTCTTCTAATTCTCAATCCAGCACTGTTTCCACTCTGCCACACTGCCTTCCTAACATACTCCTTTCATAATTTGAGAATATCTTATTGCTTCCCCCTTCTCCCAAGTACAAAAAGAGCCAGAGCAGGACCAGTTTACCCACAATGTGGTGATACCACTATGTATTGTGGCAGATTACCAAGAAAGCCACCCTGATACCTAATGCTTACCCCACTGGCCCTCCAGGGTACTAAGGTCTCCACCATTAGAGATGCATTTTGGGTTAAGGTTTTGCTTCTCCAGGAGCATAAGTATTCACTGCATATGCTCCTAAGAAAGGTAACAATACCCCCCCACCCCCATTAAGATCGTAGTTAAATGAGTTCATCAGATTACTTAGACAAAGAAAGATGAGAAAATTTCACTTAGGAAGGGGAGAGGAAGGAAGCTACCCTCAGCTTCTGGAGGGAAGGCTAAAGATCAGAGAAGAAAGCTAAGATTGGAAGATGTGCAATAGGAGTGGAAAGAGCAACTCTGCAATCCCTGTGCACAGCCCCAGACTATTGAGGCCACTCTCTCTGGCCTTCCTGAACCAGCTTCACTCTTCTCTGCTTTAGCAGTAGGGTAGTAGGAGGTAGTTGGATGGTCAGCTATCAACTATAATTCAACCTTGCCTTTAATGCACTTGCCTGTAAGCCTGAAGCAGCTGGGACCAGTTTTTATTCTTATAGTACCGTAGTTCTAGAACAGGAAGTACTACCCTGGAGGGCTAGACTTTTCTGGGAAGGAGCAGGGAGAGGTCAGCATCCCATGTCCCTGCCACATGGACTCACCTATAACCACCAAGAGGAGTGTCCTGGGATAGCACAACAGGGCATTGTGGAATGGAAGCACCTGGGGAAAGAAATGAGTCTGCAGCATCCTGGGTGGGTAGGTAGGTAGATAAGTGTCCCCCAAACCCAACTGAGCTTAGGGACTTGATGCAAAAAAAAAAAAGAAAGAAAGAAAGAAAGAAAGAAAGCTGGGAACTCAGCTGATGAGGCATTGCAGCTGGGGTTAGACATGTTTACAGGGCAAGGAGCCATTTGCCTCTCTCCTATAAAGGCTGAGGAGTTCAGCCTGTTTGTATAGAGCTTGTGTCCTAGCATGATTTAGTGAAAAGGACACTGGATTTGGAATGAGAGGACTTGGATTCATATCTACACATATTGACCTCAAGTAAATTACTTCACCTCTGCACCTCATGTATAAAATGAGGGCATGGCCTGCATAACTTCTGAGGTCTAAATCCTAGACTACTCTGGTATATATGGTCCATGTGTTCCTGCCATCATAAATGATTCTTCCTGGTGCCTTGAGTCAGAGCCTTTCCAAAGTCCAGAGGACCCTGGAAATCATGGCTCCTGAAAGACAGCTCAGCTAAGATGTCCTAAAATAATACACCCTATCCCCAGTGTTTCTAAGGACATTTCTAGTGGAATAACAAAAGTATAACTCTCTACCAGTGAGAAATAAAGACAGCACATAGAGTATCAAAAGCCATAAAATTGAGTACAAATCCCTTTGTCTAGTTGAATATTGGTAGCTAAGTATGCATTGCACAAAGCTGTTGTGAGTCTACACCACATTTGAACATTCATTCATTCAACAAACACTAAGTATCTACTATCAGCATAGCACTGTGTTGGATGGATGCTGAGGGAGAAACACAAAGGAACCTCAAGAAATTAGTTTAAAATATTAAAAAACTGAAATATACATTATCACATGTTTAGTGCCTAGAAGGTGGCACATAAATGTTATGGGAGACCCTAATGGAAAACTGAGCTTAGGACTCTGTCAGGAACAGCCATGAGATCATTGGTCAATCAATCAGTCAACATATTTATTAAGCACCTACTATATGCCAGACGCTGTGCTAGCCATTGGGGTTTCAAAATGAAACAGTCCCTGTCCTCAAGCACCTTACATTCTATTGGCAATGCCGAGGGTCTGCTGAACTTGGAGTGGGATACCAGGAGACATTAGCTCAGGCTGGGAGGATCAGTAATGGTTAAAGGAAGGAAAAGTCAAGCCAAGGATGTATGTAAGCCAGGCTATCAGAGTAAGGAAGGTCGCTCCCACTTTTGGAAGGGAGAGTTAGTTTCTACTGATCAGAGTCTCCAGTAAGAACTTGTACCCCACAAACAGCCTGGCACTGTCAGTTCAGCTGAGCTGGTCCTGCACAAAGGCGATGGGGAAATTCTAGATAGTTCGCAGACATACAAGGGAGACTAAGACAATGAAGTGTCGGTGAGGCAAGGTCAGGAGCTGCCATGTGCTCAAAGAGTTTTCTATGAGTGTCCTTGTCAGTATACATGAGCAAGCATGTTCCTTTTATGTTTTGTCTTTTCCCAGCTACCTAGACAGCTTAGATCGAATCGGAGCCGGGGACTACCAGCCCACAGAGCAAGACATCCTCCGAACCAGGGTCAAAACCACCGGCATTGTAGAAACCCACTTCACATTCAAAAACCTCCACTTCAGGTGAGGTCAATGGAAAATACTCATGGTATTGGAAAGCATCTCAAGGCAAGTAGATGGGCCATCCAGACAGACAAGGACTAACTTCATGATCAAAGGGTCAGGTCAAGCTAGTGTTAAGAGATGTTCCAACTTCACCCTCCTCCTCCTCCTCTTATATCTCCATTGCTGCTGTAAGGGAGCATAGGCTCAAGATTGCCATTCAAGTCACTTAGTCAGCATGGAACAAACACTGGTTGTTTTCTCAGATACATGCTAGGTACTGGGGAGCAGGAGTGAGAGTATAGAAAAGGAGCAGACATGGAGTCTGTCCTCAAGTAGCCTGATTGTGGAGGTAAGAATTAACACATGGACAATCAGAGACTATGGGGCCTTGTATGTTAAGGAGTACAAGGTATAATATAAAATGAACATTGATTGAAGGAAGAAAGGAAGGGTAAAAGGTGTTTATCCTAGAGAAGGGAAGATTCAGGACAGTTGTGATATCCATGGTCGGATATCATAAAGCTATCCTTTGGAAGAGGGATTAGGATTGTTCTGCTTGGCCTCATGAGGCAGAAGAGCAATGGGTAACAGCTGGAGAGAGGCAGATTTAGATTTGATGAAAGGAGAAACTTCCTGATAATTAGAGATAGAACGAAGTGGAATAGGCTGTCTGGGGAGGCCGTGGATTCCCCGACCCTGAAAGTTGATCTTTAGGCAGAAGCAAGATGGCAGCTTGTATACCAACCAGAGTAAATAGCCACGGTGGCTCTTCCAACTTTAAGATTCTGTGTTAGTTCAAGAGATCACAAGTATCTTCAAACAAGAGACAAATTGGTTTGGGCTGGAGTGATCACAGGAGGCTTCAGTGGGGTGGGCCATGAGCCAGACCTTGAAGAATGGGTAAGATTTGTATGGGTGGAGAGGAGCAAAAGTGGGCAGCAGACCAGATGTGGTATCAAGTACTGCTGTGGGAACTTTAACCTCCAGGGGAAGAAGATCGGGTCCCTGTGAGCAGAGCAGGTGGTTGTTTCAATGGATTGAGCAGAATGGGGGTGGAGGAGAGATAGAGGAAAAATACACATTGTCTGCTCCCTAAGAAAGGGATGCCTCCACCTGTGCTCGTACAGGCCCAGATATTCTGAGAGGGTCCCAGAGGGTCTGGTGTGACCACATCTGGGTAGGAGCAGGGGAAAGGACCATACATTTCCCACTACCTTCTGGAAAACACCCCCTTGAAGAATCCAGAGAAAAGAATAAAGCCTAGGAGAGGGGTAGATATAAAGGGCAGGGGCTCTCATGTGTCCTGAGTGTTGGTGCCAGCTGACTAAAAGGAGGAAGGGGCTTCTTTGGAAGGTCCTTGCAGAGGGTGTGGGGGTTGCATGTTGATTTCTCTCAGGACTGAAGGAAGAAGCAAAACAGATGTTGCCCCATTTTCCACGAAGCCCTGTTCTCCCAGCCTGGATTCTTGAGATCCTGCCAGTTCTGTTCTTTCACTGACTTTAGATGTCCATATCTCTGTACCTTGGGCTGGGCAGGTGGGGCAGGGGGTTGGAAAGCCCACATGCAGCACTGTGGCTTCTTCAGAGGGGTCCTAGGAGAAGTTGATGATGTGAGAGGAACAGGGCTTCTTTGATGACCCATGAAAAGCTGTGGTAATTGTCCCAATTCACAAGAACTATTGATGAGGACACATGTGGTGGGCCTGAGGGCCTAACAACTTTGCCCTACAGTCCAATAATCTGCTTCATGTTCTGAAGGCCTAAAGCTATGAACCAAGGGGATCTTGGCCATACTCCTCAATTAGAGCACCCAGCCCCTAAGGAGCCTGATTGCCCTGACATTGCTGTTAAGACAGACCCTGTTACCTAGGTCAAATGTGCCCTGCCCACTCTTTGGGCTATATTTATGGAGAATGTAGTAGAGTCCATAGCTATCTCTGAGGCTTGGAGACACCTCCTAGTTACCATCAGAGGCTGGGGCCTACCCTGACCATGAGCTGAATGAATCCTGATAGTTCCTGGATTCATAAGGAGTGGCCCACGGTGGGATCGTGGGGCTAGAGTCAGGTGATTTCTGAGCCACTGTCCTTCCAGGGCCATTCCCAAAGCTATTATTAGTTAGGGGGTCTGGGAGAGCCCAGAAAGTTGATGTGACATCAGGCTGATTGGTTTGTTCACTCCCAATTTAGTTAGATTGCAGATCCCAAGAGCTAAGGGCATGGGACAATACTGATCCTGTCTCCCAGAGCAGCCCAGGTTAGCCCCTCTGCTGCAGTCAGTATGGATGATCTGGGGCTATTGAGTCATCTGTAGGCTGCTCCCATCATCATTCCCCAACCTCTCCATTTGTTTTGCTTGAGGTTAATGAGATTAATTCAGTTTTGAAGAAAAATGTGGTTCCCCATCCCCTCTCCCCCTGCATTGGGGGTGTGCTGCTCCTGCTGTCCCTACAGTACTGAAAAGAATAAGACCAAGGTGTCAGAAAGCTGAGGTCCCAGACCAATTCTGCCACTAACTCACGGTGTGACCTTGAGCTTGTGACTCTCCACCCTGGATCTTAGTTTCTTCATTTATAAAATGAGGGCAATATTGACCCTAACTGCCTCATAGGACTATTTTAAGGGTTGAATGAAGACAAGATAGCGTCAAAAAGTTAACACCACCATATGAACATCAAGATTTGTCATTCTTATCTTGAAAGGATGGGGCTGCCCAAGACATTTTTAGGTTGGTCCCCAATGGATTATCAGGATCTTGAGTGTGATCTGAAGCACTGTACTCTTCTGTACTCCTCAGGGCTTTGAGAATAGTCCTGGAAGGACAGTGGCTCAAAAATTAAGTGAGAGGGCACTCACTTCAGAGAAGAAGAGTTTTGAGGACAGAAGGTTCTTATGGTTTACCTGTTAGATATATTCCTGCCTTCAGGAGCCATGCTATCAGGGGTGAGGGGGGCCCTCTGAGGTGCAGAGCCCTGCACTGGCCTTCTGGGACACTGGTTATAAAAAGAAATCCTCAGTCTCCTGTCCTCTTCTCCCATATGCATACATCATTATGGGGGAGGGCAGGGGTTGAAGGTTGGCGATGCAGAGAGAGAAAGTGACCAAATGCTCCGGCTCCCTGCCTCATCCCCTCTCCCATCTCTTTCTGTCTCTCAGGCTGTTTGATGTTGGGGGCCAGAGATCTGAACGCAAGAAGTGGATTCACTGCTTCGAAGATGTCACAGCAATCATCTTCTGTGTCGCGCTGAGCGGTTATGACCAGGTGCTCCATGAAGACGAAACCACGGTGAGTGCACCTACCTAGAAGGATATTGGCCCTGGGCCTCCTCCTTGGCACTTTGTGGGAGGTTGGATCCTGGCTAGGGGGTAAGTTCTCTGTGGTTCACTCCAGAATTTGAACCTGGAACAAGGGAGAAGGAAGAGTCAGTTTCAGTTAGTGTTGAACCCATGGTGGGGATGCCTTTGGTTCAAGAATGCTGTGGATTTCTGGTTCCTATTTGACAAAGGCCAGTGGTTGTGAATCATGACTTAACAGCCAATGCAGAAAAAGGGGGAAAAATTACAAGACCTGAGATTGCCATAAAAACTCCTGTGGATTTCTTAAAAGAAGTTAGGCCTCAGGAACAAGCACTTTGCCATTGAATCATGTAGTTGATCAGAACAAAATCAGTCAAGGCCTAAAAGAAATCAGTCTATAAGCAAATAAGGAAAATAAAATGGAAACTACAGTCCATAGCCATGGTAGTCTCCTCTTAGATTTTGCCAGAAAAGCCACTGGTGACTGTAGCCCTTGTTAGAAAAGCCAGGGTCTCCAGAGAGTACTTGATTCTGGACAGTTCCAGACCAATGAATGTGGACTTATTGAAACTTGATCTGAACTGGCTTAATTGGCCCAGGTTCTAGTCAGAAGAAAATTACTTGGTACTCTCTGCTTGTTCTTAACCTGGAGTCCATGAACTTTTTAAAAAAAATTTTGATAACTTTATTCTATTTTAATTGGTTTCCTTTGTAATCCTATGTGTTTTATTTTATGTATAAAAAAATTGTTCTGAGAAGGGGTTCACAGGCTTTGCCAAACTGCCAAAGGGTTGAATGAAGACAAGATAGCGTCAAAAAGTTAACACCACCATATGAACATCAAGGTTTGTCATTCTTATCGTGAAAGGACGGGGCTGCCGTAAAACTAAACAAGGTTAAGAACTCCCACGTTTAGAGCAACAAATATAGTTTCAAGGATGGCAAAGCAGCCTGCCACCAAAATGCTGTGAGTTAGTCTTCCAGCATTCTTTAGAATCCATTCATATAACCATATCCCACCAGAGTACACAGCCTCCCTCCAGCACAGGCTTGCCTGCTTCAATCAACATGGCTGCTGTGGCAAGCCAGTGTCATATCCTGGATTGGCCTTCTAGCCAGGAAGACCTGAGTTCAGGTCCCACCTCTAAAACCTACTAGCTGTGTGACTCTGGGCAAGTCATGTAGCTTCTCAGTACCTCAGGCAGCTGGTCAAAATGAAAAGTCACAGAGTAGGTGCCAATCTGCATTGGCAAATAGGAAGTTCCTTACACAAGTGAAAATCACAGGTGTGGTCAAAAAGCAACATTCCTACCCTTACCCCTCAAAGTGGCAACTGTACTTAGAGCAGCCAATGAATGGCTGAGTGTTCTGAGAGTATTGTCAAAGGTAAAGTGGGAGCTGGGGTGATGTGATTTGTACTTTTATGGGAGGGCGATGGTTGCTTTGTTCATGTGTCTTCAAAATGAGAAGTGAATAGGCCATTTCCTTTATTGAATCGCTGCATGCTCCCCACCAGTGCTGATGATGGTCTGATGATGGTGTGGTGGGGAGATAGCGCGGTATAAGAGAAAAAGCCTTGGACCGGGAGTCAAGAGATCTGAGGTATAATTTTGGTTCCTTCACCTGTTCTCTGTGTGACCTTAAACAATTAATAACTTCTCTGTGCCTCATTTTCTTCATCTGGCAATTCAGGATGATCTTGGCCCTAACTCCTTGTTGTAAGGATCAAATATAGCAATGGTCATGAGCCCTCTTTAAAAATGTAAAAGTACATTGAGGATATAAAATAGGATTAGTATTATTGTGTGTGTAAATGCGTGTGTGTTTGGAGAGGAGACACTGCTTGGGTAAATTGAAATGGACCAACTTTGGTTGCTGGGTGATCCATTATGCCCAATACACGTATCTAGGGCCAGCTTCATTCCTCAGCCCCAACCCATCTCTGAAGCTGGGCTTTCAGCACCCATCCTGACCAAGAGAAGGGGCTTTATTCAGATTCTGCTATGATAACTACAGAGCTGGGCACATGGTAGGAGCTTGGGATGGGAAGAATCCTAGCTGTTGAAACTCTTTTTGAAGTTCATTCGTCCTATGGTTCTGTGTTTTCTCCCAGTAAGTTGTGTGGAAAAGATACCTGAGCCCACAATAATGTCCTCTGACAGCAGGGGGAGGGGGGAGGGACATCACAGAATTGGCCTCCACTTTGTCCGGGTACATGTGGATTGTTTCTCAGGAAGGTATTGCCTGGACTTCCTGAAAGCCAATCAGTGTTTGCATTGGTCTTTGGTTGCCTTGGAAGTAGAAGGGGACTATGCATCCCTGAGGAATAGATGGGCCAGTCATTTCATTGAACTGATGCTCACTCCTCATCAACATTAACAAGGGGCCAGCTCTTAAGGAACCATCTCTGGTGAGGTGAGGAGACTATCAGGGTATAATGGGAAGACTGCTGAACCAGAAGTCCATTGATCTGTCCTCTCTCTGTTACCAGTTCACAGTGTGAGCTTGACAAGTCATTTAATCTCATATTCCCACATAATATTTGGGTCCTCACCACCCCTTACTGGAATTTGAAACTGTTTCCAGGGTCTGCCTTTGGCATTGTACAACCCTTGTGGTCATCTTTGTGCTTTATACTTTTAGCAGTAGCTGAAGCTGCCTGACTTGCAAGGTCTACACACCATTCTTCTGATGTTCAGTCCCAGAATCCACATGTGTAAAAGTGAGGGATAGGCACAGAGACCTTGGACAATGTAAAGTGGATTGCAGATGGATGTGCACTATAAGGAGAATGGGAAAAGATTGTTTCTATTCCAATGGCATTGTGTTTTTGGAAGCTGAGTGGGCTAAAAATGGGCTGGGATGAACAACTGAGACTTGGAGTGACACAGACAGGGCTAATGGGCCAGGCTGGACTGGGCAAAGATGGGATGGCCTAGGATCAGGTCTAAAGGGCAAGAGGATGGCAACTGGATTGCATTGTTGAATGCTTTTAATTCACTCTACTGCAATATCTAACCTACCAAAAAAAAAAAGGCCTCATGATTGACCAAAATGAGTTTATTTATAGTCATGTTAATATGGGAAAGGGGCTCTTAGTTGTGGAAGTTGCCTGTGGCACAGACATATTTCTAGAACTAAATGTGAGGTGTGGGGCTAGAAAAAAAGGTTCCGAAATCCAAACGAACCTTTAGATATGGCTCCATAGTGGTGACAAGACATCTGGGCAGCACCATGCCATCTGGATTATGCTACAGGTGACCTGGTGCCTCTGGACTAATCCTAGAGGATCCACATTCTAAGAGTATCTATCTAGGGTTGTCCTCAATGAGGTGTGGAATCCAGAATTTCATTCCAATTCCTAGCATGCTTTGGTAATTGTGGGGCTTCTCTTGGCAATTTTCTCTCTTCTCTGCCACTTATAAGCTGATGACAAGGTTCCTGGGCAAACGTATTTCTCTTCTTAGTTCTGTCTTTTCCTTCCTGTCCTCCCCCTCTCCCTTGCCTTTCTGATATTCTTTCTGCCTCTTCACTCCTAACCAGAGCCCAGGGAGAGGCTGAAGGGAGAAGTAGCAGGGATGATTGATTGGTTGATGAAGGGGAACAAAACCAGTTCCTTTCTTACCCTCCCCTTTAGACTCTAGGGGGAACCGAAAGGAAAGTCTCTTCCCACATTCCTCCCTTCCCAACAGCCAGCCTCTCCCCGCCTTGAAGAATGTCAGTTAAAAAAAAAATGAGCACTCAAAAATAAATATGCTCTCTCCAGAAAAGGCATTTAAGAACTTCTATAGTGCATTAATTAACCTTCTTCCCCCAGTGGGCAAATGGAGCCAAAAACCAGCAGCACTAGAAATGTCCAGATTTTTCAAGACCAGCTGGTTTGTTCAGTGCCATCTCATCAGAGACAAAAAGCATTGAATTTTGGCCAGCCCAACCTCGGAGGTCTAGGGCCAGGCTAGCTCTAGCACATACTTCCCTCCTTTCCAGGTGTGTCCTGATTCATGTCTCCAAGGGTGCTGGAGTCACCTCCTTATGAGAAGTCCTTGAAACCTCTCCAGGCCTCATCCTGTACCCCTAGGACCTTCTGTGATGCTAATGCTTTAGGGGACAGCTAGACTCTCGGTATGCCCCAACCACAGAGGCTTCCTGCAGGGCTGTTCACCAAATTTGAAGATGAGATTAAAATAGAAGGAAGGGGCAGCTAGGTGGTGCAGTGGATAGAGCATTGGCCCTGGATTCAGGAGGACCTGAGTTCAAATCTGGCCTCAGACACATAACACTTACTAGCTGTGTGACCCTGGGCAACTCACTTAACCCCATTGCCTAGCCAAAAAAAAAAAAAAGAAGAAGAAGAAGAGAAGGAAAAGAGGATGAGGAAAGGTAGAGTAAGGAAAAAGTTTCAGAGAACACCTCTCTCCCCACCCCCTGCCACCCTACCCCCCACCATTATGGGCTGCCAGGTAGCACAGTGTATAGAGTGCTGGATTTGGAGCCAGGAAGACCTGAGTTCAGATCCCACCTCAGACACTAGGTGTGTGATCCTGAGCAAATAAATCATTTAACCTCTATCTACCCCTATGAAAAATGGGAATAATAATAGCACCTACCTTGCAGGGTTGTTGGGAGGATCAAATGAGATAATACGTGTAACGTGCTTTGCAAATCTTCAAATGCTATATAAATGTTAGCTCTTATTAATAATTAGCTGTTATCTATAATCAGAAAATGGAAGCATTAGCTAGATGCTATGGCTGGGGTGGGAGTGGGGAAGATGAGAAAGAGGTAGATATAAAATTGGACATGTGCACATTTTACATACATTTATATATACATATATATGCACACACACATATATATATGCACATACAAATATAGATATATGAAATAAGGTCTGTGCCGTATGGAGCTTACAGTGTGATACGGAAGGAAGAATAGACATACATGACCAGCCCCACTAGCTGCAGAAAAGCACATCCATACAGTCTGTAG